ATGCCTGAGAGGTAGGGATGCCTGAGAGGAGGAGACCGCTCTGTAGAAGGGATGCCTGAGAGGTAGGGATGCCTGAGAGGAGGGAAAGAACCGACTCTGTAGAAGGGGATGCCTGAGAGTTAGGGCTGCCCTCGAGAGGGAGGAGACCGCTCTTGTTGAAGGGATGCTGAGAGGTAGGGATGCCTGAGAGGAGGGAGACCGCCTGTAGAAGGGATGCCTGAGAGGTATGGGATGCCTGAGAGGAGGAGGGACCCGCTCTGTTGAAGGGATGCCTGAGAGGTAGGGATGCCTGAGAGGAGGAGACCGCTCTGTAGAAGGGATGCCTGAGAGGTAGGGATGCCTGAGAGGAGGAGACCGCTCTATAGAAGGGATGCCTGAGAGGTAGGGATGCCTGATGAGGAGGAAGGATCGCTCTGTAGAAGGTGAAGCCTCGACGAAAATCATCACTTACTTATATTTATATTTTATATTATAATATATATATTCTATATATATATATATATAATATAAATTTTTTTTAAAAAAATTTAAATATATTTAATATATATATATATATATATATATATATATATATAAATATATATTATATATTTATATTTAAATGTATATATATATAATATATATATATATCATTATAGATTATATATATGTCGTGGAATATGTAAAAATGATCAATAGCAAAGAACTCATTTAAAATTAAGTCCTTTCCAAAAATTTTCTCTTATACGTTTACAGATATAATTTTTCAATTACTCGTTAATGTTAAAATTTTTTAAATTAGCTCCCAAAGAATCTTAGAAAATTTCCTACACCTATTATTTACAACAAGAACAATTTATTTTAAGCCTAACCAAACTAATCATATATTTAGATTTGTTTACCAATAATTTAATACTAAACAAACACAGAAAAATCTTTTATTTTTTTTTCGTTAGGTTCTGAATGATTTTAGCGAAATTATTGCATACACAAATTTACACTTGTCCTATATGGCAAGATGAACGTTGCTATTTAAGCCAAGATCTCAAGTTCTGCCTATTCGGCACGACATATATATATATATATATATATATATATATATATATATATATATATATATATATATATATTTATATATAACAAATAGGCCAAAAGAAAATGCTTTCATCATCATTCAGCACTTTCACCTCACTCACACATAATCTCTGTTTTTGCAGAAGTGCCCAGAACACAACAGTTTAGAAGTAAATACGTATAAAAATACACAATATATACCTCCAAACTGCCAATATCCCAAACCCCTCCTTTAGAGTGCAGATATTGTACTTCCCATTTCCAGGACTCAAGTCCGGTTATATAAAATAACCGGTTTCCTTGAATCCCTTCACTAAATATTACCCTACTTACACTCCAACAGCTCGTCAGGTCCCAAATACCATTTGTCTCCATTCACTCCTATCTAACACGCTCACGCACGTTTGCTGAAGTCCAAGCCCCTCGCCCACAACACCTCCTTTATCCTCTCCCTCCAACCTTTTCTAGGACGACCCCTACCCCGCCTTCCTTCCCCTACAGATTTATATGCTCTCCAAGTCATTCTACTTTGATCCATTCTCTCTAAATTGCCAAACCACCTCAACAACCCCTCTTCAGCCCACTGACTAATACTTTTAATAACTCCCCACCTTCTTCTAATTTCCACACTACGAATTTTCTGCATAATATTTATACCACACATTGCCCTTAGAACATCTCCACTGCCTCCAACCGCCTCCTCGCTGCAACATTTACAACCCAAGCTTCACACCCATATAAGAGTGTTGGTACTACTATACTTTCATACATACCCTTCTTTGCCTCCATAGATAACATTTTTTGCCTCCACATATACCTCAATGCACCACTCATTTTTTTTCCTTCATCAGTTCTATGATTAACCTCATCCTTCATAAATCCATCCACTGACATGTCAACTCCCAAATATCTGAAAACACTCACTTCTTCCATACTCCTCCTCCTCAATTTGATATCCATTTTTTCTTTATCTAAATCATTTCATACTCTCATCACCTTACTCCTTTCTATGTTCACCTTCAACTTTCTACCTTTACACACACTCCCAAATTCGTCCACTAACCTTTGCAATTTTTCTTTAGAATCTTTCATAAGCACAGCATCATCAGCAAAAAGTAACTGTGTCACTTCTCATTTTGTATTTAATTCCCCATAATTTAATCCCACCCCTCTCCCGAACACCCTAGCATTTACTTCTCTTACAACTCCATCTATAAATATATTAAACAACCAAGGTGACATTATACATCCCTGTCTAAGACCTACTTTTACAGGGAAGTAGTCTCCCTCTCTTCTACACACCCTAACCTGAGCCTATCCTCATAAAAACTCTTTACAGCATTTAGTAACTTACCACCTATTCCAATACTTGCAACATCTGCCACATTGTTTCCCTATCCACTCTATCATATGCCTTTTCTAAGTCCATAAATGCAATAAAAACTTCCCTACCTTTATCTAAATACTGTTCACATATATGCTTCAATGTAAACACTTGATCTACACATCGCCTACCCACTCTGAAACCTCCTTGCTCATCTGCAATTCTACATTCTGTCCTACCTCTAATTCTTTCAATAATAACCCTACCATACACTTTTCCTGGTATACTCAGTAAACTTATTCCTCTATAATTTTTACAGTCTCTTTTGTCCCCCTTCCCTTTATATAAAGGGACTATACACACTCTCCGCCAATCCCTAGGTACCTTCCCCTCTTTCATACATTTATTAAACAAAAATACCAACCACTCCAACACTATGTCCTACAGCTGCTTTTCCCCCTTTCATTCTACGTAATGCCTCATGCACCTCCCCCACACTCGCATTCTGCTCTTCTTCACTTCTAAAAGATGGTATACCTCCCTGGCCAGTGCATGAAATTACTGCCTCACTTTCTTCGTCGATATTTAAAAGTTCCTCAAAATATTCTCACCATCTACCCAAAACCTCCATCTCCTCATCTACTAACTCCCCTACTCTGTTTTTAACTGACAAATCCATTTATTCCCTAGGTTTTCTTGTTTAACTCACTCCAAATTTTTTTCTTATTTTCATTAAAATTTCTTGGCAGTACCTCTCCCACTCTATCATCCGCTCTCCTTTTCCACTCACCACTCTCTTCACCTTTCTTTTACTCTCCATATACTCTACTCTTCTTATAACACTTCTGTTTTGTAAATACCTCTCATAAGCTACCTTTTTCTCTTTTATCACACCCTTTACTTCATCATTCCACCAATCACTCCTCTTTCCTCCTGCACCCACCCTCCTATAACCACAAACTTCTGCCCCGCATTCTAATACTGCATTTTTAAAACCATTCAAACCCTCTTCAACCCCCCCCCCCCTTACTACTCATACCTGCACCAGCCCACATTTCTGCCAATAGTTGCTTATATTTCACCCGAACTTCCTCCTCCTTTAGTTTATACACTTTCACCTCCCTCTTACTTGTTGTTGCCATTTTCCTCTTATCCCATCTACCTCTTACTCTATCAGTTGCCCCTCTATAAACGTGCACATCCTGGAGCCTACCCATCAGTCTTTTATCCACCAATACATAATCTAACAAACTACTTTCATTACGTGCTACATCGTAACTTGTATATTTATCCTCTTTTTCATAAAATATGTATTACTTATTACCAAACCTCTTTCTACATATAGCTCAATTAAAGGCTCCCCATTTTCATTTACCTCTGGAACCCCAAATTTATCTACTATTCCCTCCACAACATTTTTACCCACTTTAGCATTAAAATCCCCAATCACAAGTACTCTCACACTTGGTTCAAAACTCGCCATGCATTCACTCAACATTTCCCAAAATCTCTCTCTCTATCCTCTACACTTCTCTCTTCCCCAGGTGCATATACGCTTACCATAACCCACTTCTCACATCCAACCTTTATTTTACTCCACATAATCCTTGAATTAATACATTTATAGTCCCTCTTTTCCTGCCATAGCTTATCCTTCAACATTATTGTTACTCCTTCTTTAGCTCTAACTCTATTAGAAACCCCTGACCTAATCCCATTTATTCCTCTCCACTGAAACTCACCCACCCCCTTCAGCTTTGTTTCACTTAAAGCCAGGACATCCAGCTTCTTCTCATTCATAACATCCACAATCATCTCTTTCTAATCGTTCGCACAACATCCACGCACATTCAGACTTCTCACTTTAACAATTTTCTTCTTATTCTTTTTAGTAATCTTTACAGGAAAAGGGGTTACTAGCCCATTGTTCCCGGCATTTTAGTTGACTTTCACAACACGCATGGCTTACGGAGGAAAGATTCTTATTCCACTTCCCCATGGATATAAAAGGAAAAGTAATTAGATCAAGAACTAAGATAAAATCAAAGAAAACTCAGATGAGTGTGTATAAATAAACATGTACATGTATGTTTAGTGTGGCCTAAGTGTAAGTAGAAGTAGCAAGATGTACTTGTAATCTTGTAATAAAGTTTGTAGAATTACCGACAATATGTAAACTAAAAGGACACAAGTGCAACTAATGTGACATTTTACTGTGGCAACGTTTCGCTCTCCAGGAACTTTATCAAGCTATTACCCGTAATGGCTTGATAAAGCTCCTGGAGAGCAAAACGTTGCCACAATAAAATGTCACATTAGTTGCAATTGTGTCCTTTTACTTTACATACCTGTAATTTTGCATATTTATGAGACAGACAAAAGACACCAGCAATCCTACCATCATGTAAAACAATTACAGGCTTTTGTTTTACACTCACTTGGCAGGACGGTAGTACCTCCCTGGGTGGTTGCTGTCTACCATCCTACTATCATATATATACATATATATATATACATATATATATATATATATATATATATATATATATATATATATATATATATATATATATATATATATATATACATATATATAGATAGAGATATATATGTAAAAGCTCGACAAAACTCCTGGATGAGTGGAGGTAACACTAGGTTGCTATGTGACGGCAGAGTTTATTGTTTTGAGTAGCATTCTGGCTTCCTATGAAATAACGAACATTCCTTTATTTTGCTTGAAGGTGTCTGAAATGGAGTGTGAAGATGACTCAAAGTATTTACGCCTGCAGATAGGAATAAGATACATTCACTGAAGATAAGGTTGTACTCACCGAGGGGAAGGATGAAGAAGAAGGGGAACCAGCAGAGTAGGAACACACCCACAACAATGCCCAGGGTCTTAGCCGCCTTCTTCTGCCGCCGGAACTTAGCCATCTTGCCCGGAGGTCCGGCCATCCGTCGCTCGGGCGAGGTGGAGGGCGACTCCGGGTCCTGGGCGGCATCACCCTGATGCTGTTCCTGACGCCTCTTTGAGCGACCACGTCCTGCCTCTGCCTGGCGGTCGTCCTGCCAGTTGAATGGCGTCATGGCCAGCCGCAGGTGGTGTGGCGTGGGTGGCATCAATCTTGCTACACCTTTACCTCGAAACACTCTCAATCCTGGCTTCTTCTCGGGTTCTGGAGGCTGGATGGGGCCATTGACCAGGCAGTGGCCGTTCAGACCACCCACCCCAGTGGCTAGACCCGCTGCCATACCCGCTGCCAGACCCACACCCATACCCCCACGGTGAGCCCTCAGGGTCAATCTGGTGTCTCCTCCGCGATGAACCCTGAGCGTGACGGAGGTCTTTGTGGTCTTGATGCCACTCTCCAGGAACTTGGACTGCTGGATGGCGGCGCGGTAGATGCGCCAGTAGACCGCCATGATGCACAGAGTGGGCAGGTAGAAGGAACCCGTCACCGAGAACAGGACGTAACCCAGCTCCTGGTTGACGGTGCACACGGTCGGGTCTGGATCGGCCGGAGTCTTCCAGCCAAAGGCAGGCCCGATGCATATGACGATGGAGAGCGCCCATACAGCCGCGATCAGCACACACATCCGCTTTTCCGTCATGATGGTGAGTAAGCCAGCGGTCGAGTAACTCCGATGTAGCGGTCAAGTGAGATGACACACAGAGACCAGATGGAAGCTGTGCAGCAGAGGACGTCAGCTGTGGCCCACACGCTGCAGAACACCTGCCCGAAGTACCACTTTCCAGAGACCTCAAGAGTAGCGCTGAAAGGCAAGACGGTGGTCCCGAGGAGGAGGTCGGCCACCGCGAGGTTGACGATCAGGTAGTGGGTGGAGGAGCGGAGGTTACGAGACATAAACACCGCCAGCAGCACCAGCACGTTGCCACAGATGGTCAGCACTACTATGGTAGCCAGCACTAGTGACTTGACCACAGCCTCAACCAGAGCCTTGGTGGCCGCCTCAGACGACTCTTTTTCGATATTCTCAATACCCGGCAAAAACAAGGAAGCGTTGATGCTTGCGTTGAGGCTGGCGTTGACGCTGGCATTGACGCTCTCGTCTACTTGGGTTATCTCTAGAGGAAGGTCGGGGTAGTTTTCGAAATCATAATCATCATCGAAAATCCAAGAGGTGTTGAGGAATCTGAGGGTAGTCGGCCCCTGATACCAGTATGTGACGTTGGCAGCGCTCATGTTGGTCAGCTGTCTCACATGCGCCTCATGCGTTGCTACCGCACCTCAAAACACCATATTCCAATATTACGATTCACCTTTCCCGCCATTATTTCAGTCACTCTGCAGCACCGTTCAGCATCACGAGCTTCATCTATATATTCCCTCGCTAAGTTAGCGTTATATTTCCGTAATATTTAAGCATTTCAGGGCTGCCCTAGTGCTACACAACACCACAACAACTCAACAACAACATTACAACTCACTCCACAACACCAAAATTCACTCAACAACACCTCACTTGACCTCACTGAACTGACAGCTTTTTCTAGTGCACTTTTTCCTTTACTCACTTAAAACATTTGTTGTGTCCGGTTTAACAGTCTTTTTCTGTGACCCTAAAGTCTATTTCTGTGGCCTTACAGTTTATCTCTGTGGCCTTACAGTTTATGTCTGTGGCTTTACAGTCTATTTATGTGGCCTATCAGTCTACATTTGTATCTTATTCATAATTTATGTAGCCACAAAGTCCTCATAGCTTCGCTGTGATTCATGAACTGTTTCTCTGTTTTTTTCCAAGTGGTTTCCTTCAGTGTTATTCACTGCTTTCAGGAGACGTTTCTCCAGTGTGTGTTGTATTGGCCTCTGAGCCTCTTAAATGTCTCCAAATATCTCGTAAATTTGTCAGCTGCTCTCTGACTCAGCCTCATAAATTTTCTCCCCGGTCTCTTGTCTCTACACACTGCCCAACACACCACCAGGAGGCACCAGCAGTGACAGCTGTGAATGTAGGGTTTTTCACTGTGGTGTCACCGCTGCTTCGCCGTATTTGCTGTTTGTTGTCTGGTGTGTGGAGGTCACACAACAGTACTGCCAACCTTCACGAGAGCTTCAGTGCCACTGACTGCTTCCCGGTGTCATAGCTCACTGCCGCTGCTGCGTTGTTCCCTGAACTTGTGCACGATGTCACAAGCAGTAGTCCGATGTCATAAGTTGATCATCTGTGCCATACAGGGTTTGTAGCACAGTACACCGGTGATGCTGCTGACGCAAGCTGTCGTTTGGGGCCTCGTAAAATTATTTCTCGAGGTCACAGAATACTCAACATACGCCTGCTGACATGAGCACTTGTCGGTATCTCGTCGCAATAGGTGTCACAGTCTTGTGTCACATCCTTATGGCACTGTCACCAGATGCCGCACCAAGCTAATGTGTGCCAAAGTGTTTACACCATTAGCGATATCTCTTTACCACAGTTCGTCAGTTGTAGAAAATACGAAAAAAAATCCGCTTCCGAAGGAAACGATATTTGGAATAAATAATTTAAAGCATCGAGGGATTACAAATTAGATTTTTTTTTTCCGAGGGCTTTAATATAACTGGAAACTGGTGTGTAACCGACACTAGCAGGAGCAGGAGCAGCATCAGCAGCAGCAGCAGCAGCAGCAGCAGCAGCAGCATCAGCAGCAGCAGCAGCATCAGCAGCAGCAACAACAACAGCAGCAGAAGCAGCATCAGCAGCATCATCATCAGCAGCAATAGCTTCGCCCACATCACCATCAGTTCAATAACATGGGTGAATGAGGGAGTGGAAGCTATGGCGACTGGTCGTTAATGAGGTCATTACTTTCTGTAGGTTAGTTTTCAACTAATTCGGCAACAATATTTCAATATTTTGACTAAATGACTTATCACTCGAGCATTTTTTCAGTTGAAATATATTTTTTTTTATTGGTTATGCGTGCGTGCGTGGGAATTATTGATTGACTGTATCTGTCATCGTTCTCTTATGTTAATAAATCCCGTTTATTTCAGATATCTCTTCTTCTTCTGTTCATATGTTTGTCTGCCGCTGGTGGAATGGACTTGTAGGCGTCACGTCGCTGTAGGTGGTGTTACCGCGGGCGGGAATGGGAGAGTGCTGAGGGCGTGGGTGGAGCGCGGGCGGCGTAGCGACAACCTGCCACCCACCCACCACAGGTGTCAGCTGCCATGATCTCAGAGAAGCTGCAGCAGAGGTCTCCTCCTCCTGGCAGCAACAGATGTCATGGCTGGTGGGAAGAGAGAGAGAGAGAGCCAGGTGGTCCAGGAACACGTCTCCAGATACTCACATCTCTGATGGCTTGAACATTGACTGGCTGAACTTCCTCACGTTATGGTTTAAAACTCATTCTTTTTTCCTGTTTAGTATTTCATTAAGCACTCGATCGTATTATTTTGTCATTAGTGGATCATATTCACGTCTTACTAGTGGAGCACATGAACGTGTTTTTCCCCCTCTCACTAGTGGAGGAAAGATTTTTTTCCCTCACTAGTAGAGCACTGGATGCTATTTTTTCCCCTCACTAGTAGAGCACTGGATGCTATTTTTTTCCCTCACTAGTAGAGCACTGGATGGTGTTTTTGTCTCACTAGTGGAGCGCTGGATGGTGTTTTTGTCTCACTAGTGGAGCGCTGGATGGTGTTTTTGTCTCACTAGTGGAGCACTGGATGGTGTTTTTGTCTCACTAGTGGAGCACTGGATGGTGTTTTTGTCTCACTAGTGGAGCACTGGATGGTGTTTTTGTCTCACTAGTGGAGCGCTGGATGGTGTTTTTGTCTCACTAGTGGAACGCTGGATGGTGTTTTTGTCTTACTAGTGGAGCACTGGATGGTGTTTTTGTCCTACTAGTGGAACACTGGTGTTTTCGTCTCACTAATAGAGCACTGGATGGTGCATTTCCCATCACTAGCAGAGCACTGGATGGCGTTTTTCTGTCTAGTGGAGCACTGAATGGTTTTTCTGTCTCACTAGGAAAGCCTGCGGATGGATGCTTTTCTCTCACTAGTGGAGCACTGGGTAGCGTTTTTGTCTTTTTAGTAGAGTACTGAAGGATGTTGTATCTAGTGGAGCACTGAATGGTGTTTTTGTCTCACTAGTGAAGCACTAGATGGTTTTTTTCCCTTCGCTATTGGAGCACTGGATGGTGTTTTCTCCCTCGCTAGTGAAGCACTGGATGGTGCTTTTCCTTTCACTAGTAGAGCACCAGAAAGTGTTTACTGAGAAGAGCCCAGCGGCTAACAAGCGGCTGGCTTGACGGAGCGTGTGCGGGTGTGTGTGTGTGGTGAGCAGCGGTGACCCAGACTGACCCACTGCTGCTGCTGCTACCCGCGCACTCCACCCACTCCCCCTCCCCCACACACCCCTCCCCACTCCCCTCCCTACCCACCCCCCCCCCTCCCCCTCCCCTCCCCCCTCCCCCCCTCCCTCCCCCTCCCTCCTCCCACCCCCTCCCCCCATCCCCTCCCCCAATCCATATCTCACTTCTTTTCCCCCTCCCACATATGTCCCGGCACTTCCCTCCACTCCCCCATACACACACTATCTTCACTTCTCAACCCCGGGTTCTTGTCGCACCTTTTCACACCTCCCCGCCACACCTACATATCTGAGCAACACTTTCTTCCCCCTCCCCCCACAAACCTTCCCCACACCTGCCAACACACCTGCTGATAGTCTATCGTCGTCCATAAAGGAATTTACAAGCGACAAATATTAATGAATTTCTGAAACTCTTAGCATGGGATGTCCGGAGAGAGAGAGAGAAAGAGACGGACCGACAGACTCGTCCTCTTCCTCCTCCTCCTCCTCCTCCTCCCTCCTCCTCCTCCTCCTATTCCTCCAATTCTTCAGTTTCATAAAAATTATGTTGAATATTGGAGGAGGTAAATGCAGGATAATAATGTGTGACGTAGAGACTCTGGCCTCTGAATTTAATACCAGTTTTTTTCATCAATTCATTTTGATGAGCTAAGTGAGCGGTGAGGAAAGTCGCTTGTGATACATTGTTCTTACAAAGACATATGTTTTTGTTCACATACTTGTGTGCATGTGTGTGTGTATTCACTTAGTTGTGGCTGCAGGGGTCGAGTCACAGCTCCTATGTGTGTGTACTCACCTATTTGTACTCACCTAATTGTGGTTGCAGGAGTCAAGATTCAGCTTCTGGCCCCACCTCTTCATGGCCGCTACTGGGTCTCTCTCTCCCTGCGCCATGAGCTTTATCATGCCTTGTCTTAAAACTATGTATGGTTCCTACCTCCACTACATCACTTCCCAGACTATTCTACTTCCTAACAACTCTGTGGCTAAAGAAATACTTCCTAACATCTCTTTGACTCATCTGAGTCTTCAGCTTCAAATTGTTGCCCCTTGTTTCTGTGTCCCATCTCTGGAACATCCTGTCTCTGTCCATCTTCTCTATTCCACGCAGTATTTTGTATGTCGTTTTCATGTTACCCCTGATCCTCCTGTCCTCCAGTGTCGTCAGACCGATTTCCCTTAACCTTTCTTCGTTGGATATTCCCCATAGCCCTGGAACCAGCCTTGCTGCAAACCTTTGCACTTTCTCTAATTTCTTGACGTGCTTGACCAAGTGTGGGTTCCAAACTGGTGCTGCGTCCTGCAGTACGGGCCTGACGTACAGTGTATAGTCTTGAACGATTCCTTACTGAGGTATCTGAACGCTATTCTCAGGTTGGCCAGGCGCCCATATGCCGCAGCAGTTATTTGGTTAATGTGTGCTTCCGGCGACGTGCTCGGTGTTATACTCACCACTAGATCTTTCTACTTGAGTGAGGTTTGCAGTCTTTGGCAGCCTAGCCTATACTCTGTCTGCAGACTTCTTTGCCCTTCTCAGATCTTCATGACTTTGCATTTGGCGGGGTTAAATTCTAGGAGCCAGTTGCTGGACCACGCATCCGGCCTGTCCAGGCCTCTTTGTAGACCTGTCTGATCTGCATCTGATTTAATTCTTATTAACTTCACATCATCTGCAAACAGGGACACTTCTGAGCCTATCCGTTCCGTCATCTCATTCACATATACCAAGAATAACACTGGTCCCAGGACTGACCCCTGTGAGACCCCGCTCATCACAGGCACGCACTGTGATACCTCATCACGTACCATGACTCGCTGTTGCCTCCCTGTCAGGTATTCTCTGATTCATTGCAGTGCCCTTCTTGTTATACGTGCCTGATCCTCTAGCTTCTGCACTAATCACTTGTTAGGAACTGTGTCGAAGGCCTCTTGCAGTCCAAGAAAATGCAATCAACTCACCTCTCCCTCTCAGTTACCGTGTCATAGAACTCCAGTAGGTTTGTGACACAGGATTTGTCTTCCATGAATCCGTGCTGCTTGTCGTCTATAACCTTGTTGCATTCCAGGTGCTCTACCACTCTCCTGATAATCTTCTCCATGACTTTGCATACTATACACGTCAGTGACACTGACGTGTATAGTATGTGCTTCGTTTCTGTCCTTACTTAAAAATGGGGACTACATTTGCAGTCTTCCACACCTCAGGTAGTTGCCCAGTTTCAAGGATGTGTTGAAGATTGTGGTTAATGGCACACACAGTGTCTCTGCTTCTTCTCTAAGGACCCACGGAGAGATGTTGTGTGGTCCCATCGCCTTTAAGGTATTAAGGTCACTTAGGAGCTTCTTCACCTCCTTCTCGGTTGTGTGTATTTTTTCCAACACTTGTTGGCATATACCTTGTTGGTGTACCCCTCTGTTTTATCTTCCAAGTGTCCCGTCTGCCTCCACTGTAAGTACCTTTTCAAATCTCATGTTGAGCTCCTCAAATACTTCTTAGTCGTTTCTTGTGAGCTCTCCACCTTCTTTCCTCAGCCTGATTACCTGGTCCTTGACTGTTGTCTTCCTCCTGATATGGTTGTAAAGCAGTTTCGGGTCAGACTTGACTTTCGATGCTATGTCGTTTTCGTACTGCCGCTGGGCCTCCCTCCTTATCTGTGCATACTCGTTTCTGGCTCATCGACTAATCTTTTTATTTTCCTGGGTCCTTTGCCTTCTGTACTTATTTCATTCTCTTGTGCACTTAGTTTTTTCCTCTCTACACCTTCGGGAAACTTAGGGCTCATTCTGGTCTTCCCATTATTTCTGTTACCCTTGGAAACAAACCTTTCCTCTGCCTCTGTGCATTTTATTGTTACATAATCCATCATTTCGTTCACTGACTTTCCTACCAACTCTCTTTCCCACTGAACCTCCTGCAGGAAGGTTCTCATACCTGTGTAGTCCCCTCTTTTATAGTTTGGCTTTCCCCTTACTACTCCTGATATCCTCTCCACTTGTAGCTCTACAACGTATTCAAAGCACAGAACCACGTGGTCACTGCTCCAACAGGCCTTTCATATGTGATGTCCTCGATGTCTGAGCTACTCAGGGTGAACACAAGGTCCAGTCTTGCTGGTTCATCCTCCCCTCTCTTTCTATCTCTCTCTGGTAGTGTCCCTAATATTTTGGTGCACGAGTTTTTCAGTACCCTATCCATCATCTTGGCTCTCCATGTTTCGGGACCCCCATATGGCTCCAGGTTTTCCCAATCAATCTCCCTGTGGTTAAAGACGGCCATAACCAGTAACTTTGCTCTACTCGAGTGAGCTCTTCTTGCCACCTCAGCTAGTGTGTCCACCATTGTTCCATTGTACTCATCATATTCCTCTCTTGGCCTCCTGCAGTTCTGTGGTGGGTTATAAATCACTGCAATGACTACCTTGTGTACCCCTGACTGAACTGCTCATACTATGTATTCCCTTTCTCCATTTTCGTCCATTCATTCCATTTCCTGATATCTCCATTGATTTTTAATGAGCAATGCAACCCCTCCTCCCCCTCTGCTCCTTCTATCCTTCCTCAGATCTGGTATCCGCATGGGAAGATTTCATCTGTTATTGTCCCAGTGAGTTTTTTCTGTGACTGCTATGATGTCTGGGGACATCTTGATTCGTTCATGCCACTACTGATATTTATTCGTTATTCCATCTGTGTTCATGTACCAAACCTTCAACTTCTTTTCTATAACTATGGTCTAGGGAGAATCGTGGGTTTGGGGAAGCAGATGCCCTGGTGGGGGCCTATAAGGGGTTGCTGTCGGGGTGGTGTCTGTGGTGTGGGGGTTGGGACAGAGGGCCCATTGGGGGTTACAGGGGGGGGGTTGTGGTGCAGGGGATGGGGGCAGAGGGCCTATAGGGGGTTACAGTGAGGGTGGGGGTTGTTGTGAGGGGGATGGGGATAGAGAGTACAGTGTGTGGTTTTCTGTGGGTTACAGTGAGGGTGGGGTTTGTGGTGAGGGGGATGGGGGCAGAGGGTACAGTGTGTGGGTTACTGTGGGTTACTGTGTGGGGTGGGGTTTGTGATGAGAGGGGATAAGGGCAGAGGGAACAGTGTGTGGGTTTTGGATTAGGTTATTTGATTGCATTGGGGTTGCCATGGTTGGGTTCCTTCTGTGGGTGGCAGAAGGTGGAGGAGGTTATGTTTGTTCTTCCACCTGAGTCTGGTTTCTCCTGCTCCCCTTCTTTCTTGCCTCCCATTCCTTCTTGTGATGTTGCACCCTCTCTTTCAGTATCATCCTTTCTTCTTGTGTTCTGTCTCGGTCAAGGTACACGCTCCGGTACTCTGGTGTGTCCCTTAGACACACTTTCTCCTACAGGATACTTGAAAAATCACTTTGACTGGACACTTGTTTCCTCTCGCAAACCACCCGATTCACCAAAAAATTGTCAGCTGGGTCATGTCGTTCTCTCCTATTGCTTTCATGTTGCTTTAAATCATTTTTTTCCTCTACTGTTTTCTTGCTTTGTAAGTTTCCCCTTCTACTTCTTGGAGCCCATAGACATAAACTGCCATTCATCCTCCCACTTCACTTCTCTGACCATCATCTAAGATTAATTAGGTCCTGCCATTGACATGTTTCTTCCTACTGCTTCTTCCCTATCCCATG